ATATTTCCTTAAGTTTTCCATTTTTTGTTGAAGTTTAAGTCAAAACTATAGCTCCTTAAACTGTTATCTTCTGCTTTTCTTTTCTTTTTCTTTTTCTTTTTAATTTAATAAAAATTTTTGTTTAATGGTGTTTATAGCAGTGATCTTTTTACCCAAATTGTAGCATCTGTAAAACCAATTTTAAGTAGTGGCCTAAATCATGAGGAAGCTGATAGTAGCACTTCTCTTAAGGGGAAAGAAATATTGAGAGAGTCTGAAGAACTAAATGAGAAACATAGGTTTGTTGACTTTTTCTTTTCATTGTTTTTAAGATATTTGAATTGATAATAAGTATTTAACTGAAAATTAAAAATTTGTATATACATTTCAGTGTGCCTCCTATCGTTTTAGGAGTTGATCAAGTTAAATCTGTCGTTTCAAAAATGATTATGCAGAGAAGGTATGGTGCTGCACTAAGTATAAATTTATTTATTATTTATAAAACAAGTGTTCTAATTCAAAGTTCAATTCTAAAAGCAGAAAGGGGTTGCAACTAGATGATTTGCATGAAAATAATAACAAGGAGTTTAGCAATCAATCATCTGAGCTTTATAATGCATCTATTACTAATGACTATCAGGAAAAGATGAAAAGGTATTTACTATGTTATGTTTATATGTACTTATTATAATTTTTATGATATATTTGTTTTTTAATATGAGCACTATAAATTCAGTCTTCAAGTGTATTATAGGGAAAATGAGAAGCAAGAATCAAGTGTTGACCTGTTCGGCAGCATCAATGAAGATAATTTGACATCAACAAAGGAACTGGTAACGTTGACTGGTAGCAATTGGTATGTGTAACAGTGACATGATATTAAAAAGCACATTTCCTACTATGCTTTAAAGAATTCAAATTGACAGTTTCTATTTATGAATTTAACAGTGAAAAACAAATAGGAATTGAAGAAAAAAGAATTAAAAAAAATGATGCAAAAAATGTACAAAGAGATGATATCAACCAATACTAAAAAAAAAGTAAGAAACTTTATTTATTTAAATTTATTTTCATAACCTGAATAAAAAAATATATTCCTCTTATATTCTAAAACTTTAATTATTGTGCTTTACAGAAAAACTGAAGACTTCAAAGGAATAAGAAGTAGAGAAAGTTAGAAGATAATCCAGTTGTTATCTATTTCTTTTAGGATAATATTATTATATTAAATTTTTTAATTCCAACTTATTTTCTATTTCAGTCAGTGAAAACATATCGGAACTTTTATCTATAAATTTCTGTTAATATTATACGTCTATGTTTTAGTTTGTGATAATTATGATTATTTATAATTTTTTTCCTTCTAATATTATTTGGATAATATGAAATAAAATGGTATTAGTGTTGTATCTAATACATTTGCATAATATTTAAAAAGTCAATATAAAATAATCTAAAAAATGAAATTTAAAAGAATAAAATGGATGGAACATTTAAACTGATGCAACATTTGAACTGATGCATTTCCTTTCGTAAAAAAAAAAAAAAATTCCTTTCTAGATAAAAATAAGTAATTTAGTTATACACATTTATGTCTTTTTTTTTAAATAGATAAAGATGAGGGAAACATATATAATAAAAATTAAAACAAATTGATTCAAGTTAAAACACATTGTTCACAGTTAAACCATGACAGTTAAAACTATTTAGTAAATTGAAACACTTAATGAATGGGAAAAAATAAAAAGATACTCCTACAAAATGTTTATGAGCACGAAATTTTGATCATATAATAACTAAAATCATAAACTAGAATATGGAGTTTAAGTAAGTTAATAAACCAAAATATAGAGTTTAAGAAACAGTTTTTTTTAACTGTCATCATTCCAAGGAACTCTGCTACACAAACGACAGCACCCAAGCAAGCAATTGATGGAAGACAAAAACTACAGTAAGGTTACTCCATTTAACATAATATGAAGTTCAAGAAATAATTTTCTTTTACCTGTCATTATCTCAAGAAACTTTGATGCAAGAACGACGGCAACACAAGCAAGCAATTAATGGAGCAGAAAAACTATACAAAGATTACAACAGGATCAGATTTACTTGCAGAATTTGAAGAGTATTTATAGCAGACTTCTTTTCAACAAAGTAGTCAAAATTTTCTTCAATCAAATTCTCAATTATTGGGAGTTGAAGTTGTTGCATCAACAATAGATAAACAAGCAGAATGCACGACAAACCAAGCACTTGCAACTAATATTGGAGAGCAACCCATAGATACAATCAGCTACATTAGAGTTGAAGAGCATGAAAATGAAATGAGAGGTACAATCGAACTGTTTTTTGTCTGATGCTTAATCTAACTACTTTCCCCTTTTTTTTTTTATTCATGAAGGTGATGTATTTATTTTTTATGATGCATATAGAGACTTCCTTATGGAAAGGAATTTAGAACTAGGTTTATGACTATTTGGGAATATGGTTTTAAATATGAAATGTAAACAATGATAATTACATGTATTAAGACATTTCTGGAGATAGAGAGACATGTAGAAAAGTGCCATAGCTACAAAATTGATAGAGAGACATGAAGCAGAGAGAGAGATTATTATTAAATAAAGTTACATAAGTTATCCTTGATAGACTCAAGTGCACAATAAATTCTTTGATAAAACCTAAATTAATTTAGGTCTGTTAAGTAAACACACTCTATTTTTAAGCCTAATATAACTAGCATAATTCAATTTTGGTTGCTATTAGTTTCGTCCAGGAGAAAGAGAGAAGGTTAATAGAGGATGGAAACCTTGAACCAGAGAAAGTGTTGTCTGACAAGTTCCTTTAGCTCTTTTTTTTTTTTTTTTGTAATGTTATTTTGTTAGTCATGAGTGTTCAAAAACAAAAAACATAAAGCATATTGATGTTCTAAGCTTATAATAGAGAGTTAATAAACCTATATCAGAAGTTCAGGGTCATTGTTATATGGAACCAAGGCAAGCTGAAGAATTGAACTTTGTTTAAGTTTGCCTTTTAAATTGGCAAACAAAAAAATAATAATAGAATTCTATTTATATTTGTGCTCTAATTGCAATTCATATGGTAGAGAATATTTCCTTAAGTTTTCCATTTTTTGTTGAAATTTAAATCAAAGCTATAGTTTCTACAACAACTAACAAGGAAAGAGGGAAAATACCAGTAAACCCTCTAGAAGTAAAGACATTGGGGACACTAACAGAAAATCTTCTTCGAGTAGCTTCTACTCATGAAATATCACCTGGTATGTTTTATATTTATTTATAGAATAACTTTAAATTGTAGCCTATATTTCTAGAAAAGCTAAGCATTAAGTTAAATGCAGGAAATGAAATGGTACAAGTTTATGAATACAGCAAAATTATACCAAGAGCAAACTTATTGTCTGAGTTTGAAGATTATTTGCTAAGAAGTACAAGGGAGAATGTGATGAAAGGTGTTTCTATCTTATTAATAATGCTGAAATTAATTTAATACATCAATTTTTCAACAAACTGTTCCTTAAGAAGATCTATGTGTACAGGAATAAAACAGGATGGTAGACAAATGGAAATTGGTGAGTCAAGCAATTCTGCCACAAGAATTTCTGAAAAAATAGTAAGGACAATTGAAGAAAGCCAAGAAAATATTTTCACTTCAGCTCAAAGTCAAGAAATAAGGAGGACAGGAATTAGAAGACAAAATGGTGCAAATCCCTTTGATGTTCCACAAAGATCAACAAGAAAAAGACAAAGAGAAGCTAGCAACAATGGTAAATAATTATATTAAACTTTTAAATGAAAAATCTTTCCATATTTATTATTGGAAAATTAGATGACATTATTATTTATTTACCATTGAATTTTACAGTTGAACAAAGAAATGTTTTGATTGATTTTGGTCCTCCAATATACATTTGTACAAAGTGTGGAGCATGGCATTGGATCCAGGAGAAAATAAAAAAGGACAGAAGTAATGGCATTATTCACTTCTCTCTATGTTGTAAAGATGGGAAACTATAATTAGCTCCAAGAAAAGATCCTCCTATGTTGTTAAAATCTCTTCTTGATTATGAAGGTGGACCAAAAGCCAAGAGATTTAGATCTAACATCCGGAAATGCAACTGCCAGTTTGCATTTACATCTTTTGGAGCTAAAATAGATGACACTGTAAATACAGGATAGGGACCTTTTTGCTTCAAACCATGTGGACAATGTTGTCATAGAATTGGATCACTTTTACCTCCTGAAGGTCAGAATCCAACATTTGCACAACTTTATGTTTTTGATACAGATAATGAAGTCCATAATAGATTGAATGTGGCCAACACATCAACTGATGATGATCCTTTGAACAAGGAGATAATTGAGGATCTAATAAAGATGTTTGATGAATGCAACAAATTAGTGCAAGTTTTTTGGAGAGCTAGAGATACATTGGTAGAAAATGGAATACCAGAATTTCAGCTCAAATTATTAAGTGGTGGAGGACCTGGTGATCATCAATATTCTGCACCAGAAATGGCAGAAACTGTTGGATTAATAATTGGAGCTGAGGAAGAGATTTTGCAGGGTCGAGATGTGATCATTCAACATAGGAATGGTACTGTGAAAAGAATTAATTCATCTTTTCCATACTACATGGCTTTACAGTATTCTATTTTATTTCCCTATGGTGAAGAAGGATATAGAAACAATTTATATGAAGTTGATGAGAATGGGAATCAAACAAATGACAGGATCTCAATATGTGATTACTACAGATATTATTTTCAGTTTAGAGTTAATGAATGGAACACAATCATGTATGGTGGTAGATTATCTCAGCAATTTGTTGTGTATGTATACTGTTGTGTTGAAGAACAGCGATTACTATATCATCGTCTCAACCAAAGTCAATTGAGAATAGAATTTTACAATGGTGTGGTGGATGTAGTGAACAAAGGGGATACAGATGGTAAAATAGTTGGGAAGAAAATCATATTACCATGAAGTTTTACTGGTGGACCAAGATACATGCAACAGTTGTATCAAGATGCAATGTGCATTTGTCAACATTTTGGCAATCCAGATTATTTTCTTACATTCACTTGCAATAGTCCTTGGAATGAAATTAAAGAAGCTTTAAAATTCATTCCTGGGCAAAAAGTAGAAGATCGTCTAGATTTACCAGTGAGGGTATTTAAGATGAAATTGACTGCATTACTTAGGTTCATAAAGAACAAGAAACATTTTGGAAAACAAGAAGCAAGTAAGTAGTTTTAAACACTGTTGTTACAATATTTTAAAATTTAACTATGGTAATATACTAATATGTATGCCATTCTTTAAGGAGCTGATAAATGATATATGCTAACTACTTTGTTTAAATTTTTGTTGATTGTAGTTGTATATATAGTTGAATTCCAGAAGAGGGGATTACCACATGTTCACATCTTGCTTTGGGTTGATCCACCCAATAAGCCCAGAACATTAGAAGATGTAGATAACCGAATAAGTGCAGAAATACCAGATAAAGAGACAAGTCCAGTGCTTTATGAACTGGTAAAGAAATTCCATATTCATAATCCTTGTGGTAAAAAATTCCCAAAGGCTGCATGCATGAAAAATGGAAAATGTTCTAAAGGTTTTCCTCAAGCATTTAGTGAGACAACTATGCTAGACAAAG